TTTGTTTCCCCCCATAACCTATCCATTTGTTCCTCCCATGTTGCAGGTTGCAGAGATGCCGCAGTCACGGACGCTGTTGCCTCTGCTGGCGGTGGTCGCCCTGATGGCAAGCTCGGCCTGCGCCGGCCACAAGAGAAGCGATCACTACGACTACAGCGGCCCTGTCAGCGCCTCGCCGTTCTCGTTTTTGGATACACTGTGAGCTCGCCTGCACGCACATTGCATGGTCTACTCTTTTGCGAATTACTTGATTTGTCGCTTGGTTTATTGTGTCGCCACATAAATGCGTGCTTCAAGTAATGCAAAATGTTCCCTAGTGTCAAGATGTTTTATGCTAGTAGAAGCAATATATTAATAACACCAAACTTATAATGACGTCACTCATTAGCGGATGAAATCATTTTTAATAATGAAATTTCCAATAAATTTAAGCAAGTAACAAAAAAAGCAAGTAACAATGTGATTTGAGCATACCCGTAATGGAGACATTAATTTTTGAAACTGCGTGTGTAGGACGAAGTCACAGACACTTTCCATGTAGGTCGTAACATAAACCTCTCCCCGCTCTCCATGGGACCCATAGGCGTCGCCAGACATTTTTGGTTGGGGGGGGCAGAATCAAGTTTTGTGTTTAAATCTTGCCTTTCCCCAGCCGTTACTCACTCGTTTTACATATCATGCGACGCGCAATGGTGCGAGGAATCCGATGGTGACAAAGTTTTCCTTCTAGCTATAGCATGTATTTTTTTTACAAAAAAAATCAAAATTTTGAAATTTCCGGACAAAAACGACCGTTATAATTACAGTGGCTGCGATTGCCGACGCACTGCAGAGGGCCCCTGTGCAGATACAGATACAGATACAGATACTTTATTCACAGCAAATCCATGGAACATGGCTTTTCATTGCAATACGTCAAATATGTAAATACACAAGGTTCAAGACACAGTGCTCAACTGAAACTAACTAGACATCGCAGACTGCTCCATAAAAATGTGCTTTTTGAGCTGGTGTCGAAAGTTGCGAGCGGTGACATCGAACGGTAAGCGGTCATACTCGCGCACAGTGTCGTAGCAGAGCCGCTGTCGACCAGCTTCAGTGCGAATTCTCGGCAACATGTGAATGGAGGTTTTACCACCATTGCGCAGACTCTCGTCGCTCATGATCATTACCCAGAAGAAGGTGAAAAACGCTCCATTTGAATCGGATCACCTCGCTAAAACCTCCATTCACGCATGCATGCCGAGGTTTTACATGAAATGCATAGGGCTTATCCCAGCCGCCGATTGTAGCTAAGAATTGGGCATTCGGCGGTGACTGAGAGAGAATGTCGGAAGTGTGAATCGGAAGTACATCATTCATCCTTGCTGCAGTGAGAAGAAGTGTTTTGTTCACTCGAGTGTGAACAAAAAGTTTCTGGTTTTTCGAGTGAATGGAAGCGCTGCAAACGCGACCAAAAATATTTAACGGAACCAAAAGTTACGCACGGCATAGCGGCAAGGGATCCCTTAGAGATAGGATTGCGACTTTCAGGCCATTTCAGGCCACTCAGGGTCAGTGTGGACTCTCAGAAGCCTGCTTAGGATCCCGGAGATCGGCGTGGGTCACCCCAAATATTTACGTGTATGTGGTGCTTTAGGGCTTTCCGAGCCTAAGGTGGGCCCGGAAAGCCCTTTAGGGCACACGAGCTTTCAGAAGCCAGTGTGGGCGGCGGGCGCTAAGAGACTAGGCCCAGGGTGAGCCTGGAGCCCTCGAATAACAGTGTGAACCGTCGGGGTCTGTGTCGAATCCTTAAGGACCCTACGTTGGTAGGGACATAAGAAACATGTGTTGCGGCCCTCAGAGGGACACGTGAGTTGTGACCCCTCAGATGCCGGGTTGGGGTTAGTAAAGTCTGTCGCCTCAAAAGTTCGGCTGAACTATCATAGGCCAGTTGAGGTTTTAGAAATTTTCGAAGGCATCCTCAAAGATTCGTGTGGCCCTTCAGAGGTCTACGTATGTATAATGTCCGCAAAGATCCCTGTATGGACCCTCTAGAGAACATGGACACCAGTGGGACTCTCAGAGGCCGGTTTGGGCCCTCCGAAAGCTTCTTAGAGCTCAGTGGAGCTCCTTAGGAGCCTGTGTGAAAAGCAGGCTCATGAGCCCTGCGGCACTTGAACGGTACTTGTGCCTGTCGCAGACATTTGACGAGAGTTGAGGAAGGCCCCGAAGATTTCGTGTCACGCTTTGAACGAAAATTATGTGTCAGCACTCCAAAACTTATGAAAATCAGCTACAAAATGTAATAAAGAACCAACTAGGAACATGGCATGAATCATGGCATTGACATTTCTGAGTCTGGAGTCGGAGTCTTGAAGATTTTGGGAACTGTGACTCTGACTTTGGTTTGAACTGCACGCTCCAACAGAGTCTGACCTCACAGCCATTCTCAGAAAGGTACCCCCATTTTTCCCCGACTCCCAAATCTCATCGGATCTGTATCGATCTCAGGGGGTGCCCGGTCCTAGGTTGGGGGGGCAAGCTGCCCCGCTTGCCCCCCGTGGCGACACTAATGATGGGACCCCTCATGCCACGTATGTGTAGGTATTCCGGGTCTCAATTCCGTCGGAATCTGCCGCCTTCTCGACGCCACCCCTCCCCCTCATAGGACCCGGCCGCCCCTCTCCCGCCCAGGCTCCTACCACGTGATCCTAGTCCTCTCCCATTCACACTATGCCGTCATAAATATCCATTTGTTTCCCGGCGTGCCCATGACAAATCATCTCACGCTTTCTCTCTGCGTGTCAGGAAGGTAAGCGAAAGCGGACGACCGTTTCGTCACAGCTTTTCTATGAGGAGGGTTCCGGCTGAAAAAATATACCTATTTACAATAATACCCTATCCCGAAAAATACTGATCGAAGCTTTATCAAGCTTCCAATGGATTGACCGTTCTTATTGTAAGCTTTTAAGCATTATCTACTGGTATATTTCTTACTTTGCAGAATTTTCGGCGTGAAAATCCCGTAAAAATGAATTCCATGACATACGATTTTAAAGCAATAACTCGATAATATTTTCTGCTCTTAATTTTGAACAAGTTATCACAGTCATCATTTCTGCGTTCCGTTGTCACAAGTGACAGCACGAGGCTACGAAATTATGGCGTCATAAATATTCCATTTTTAGGATCAACAACTCTGACTGACTGCAATGAGTCATGTACGGAGAGAAATTCTGATCAATGTTGTCCCCAGAAAGTGGTTTACTCGATCAACATTTCATGTAATATACACTTTAAAAGTATGCTCACAAACGTTTTATCTAAGATATAGGCCTTTTCTGGTAATCTATTACCCTTTCGTGAGCCATGCATTTAAACCTTTAGCTATCAGAACAAGGTTCAATTCAATTCTATGTTTCAATGTTCCCTATTCAATGTTTTGCAAGTACATGCCAATAAACAATTCTATTGTTTTTTTAGTGTGCCGATAAAATGCAACATTCCATTGCAATTCTATTCGGTACTCTAAAAAGACGGACTTATAAAAATCATTTTCAATCAATATTTATGCTTCGATGGTTCTGTGCTCACGCTGGCGGTTTTCCCCGAAATCGCTATGTATTTCGAAGAATATGAATTATAGTAATGCTCGATTTTATCACTTCATCTTTATGAAGACCGACACTCTGTTAATAATCTAAAATTAGCATCGACACTTTCCATTTTGCTTCAGGACACTAATGAGAGAAACTTCCGATTCCTTTCAGGGTGGACAGCTTGTTCGACTTCCGAGCGGGACGTCTGTCTTCGCTGTACGACTTCTATCGCCAGGCTGGACTTCAAGAAGGTACGATCAGTTAATTTCGGTGAATCTGAAGTATTTGCGTCTTTTATCCACAAAATAATCGCAGTTACGTGAGCTAAGAAATATACATTGCAAACGAATTTCGTAATGCTCGTTTTCTCTGCTCCTCCAGGGTAAATAAAACAACCCAATCAAGTTGCCAATAGTATTAGCAATACATTATACGTTTGTTTAGCTTTGCTTGTTGCCGTATTCCATCGTTGTTGTTTTTTTTTAATCTACGAATGCAAAATAAAAAGGGATTAATGGCAGTAACCAACACATTGGATATAGAATGCAAGCATGTTTTTTTCCAGCCGTGGTTATAATTGTGATGTAAATGAGACGCAATGTTTCTGTCGTCTGCCGAACAACTAGCCACTTTTATGCGTCGCGAACGTCTGTGCTGGCTGGCCGTTCGAGGCACAGCGCCTCTCCCGACCGGCCATTCAAAGCATAGTGCCTGTGCTGACCGGTCGCTCTTAGATACGGTATACCGACGTGCCGATCTGTGTATATAAGTGCCGGTTTGTGTATAATACTGACCGGTCGCCCTGCGTGTGCCCTGTCCGACCGCTGTGTGCATGGTACTGATCGGCCACCCGATCTGTATAACGCTGACCGGTCGATCTACGTGTGCTATACCCTGCAGCCGTGGCAAGGACAGCCGTGGTGATGACGTTTGCCGGCGTGGCCGTGACCGTGGCCATCGCTGTCGACTACATGATCCAGATGCTGAGCACGCTCACCAAGAAACGAGCTCTGTTAGAGGAGCGAGGCATCAGTGAGGAGCATGTGGAGACGGCTCTGCGACTCCTGGAGCGGGCCGCCACCCTCTGGCAGTAGTGTCGGCTCGTCGGGCCCGTTTGATCGACTTCAGCTATACGCTCAATACCGTGGTACTGGCTGACTGTAGGTATACAGACCACAAATGACACGAAAACCTTCGAGGAGCTGTTGTGGTTCCAATCCAGTGTTACGCCGAGTGTGTCGAGGTGTTTTCAAGCATGTCATACTCGTCGATTGAGGTCTGTTATTTGTTAGCCACTTCAATGAAGGTGACATTGCTTGATGCGTATCTGAAGAGCCATAATGTTCGTGTGGCATCACTCCGAGGAGCTGCATGAGGACCGCTGCTCTGCTATTTCTGTATTAAACTTTCGTTTTCGACGTCTTGTTATTGATCAAAATGGTTATTTTGTGGATAATTTCTACTGAATGTGTGAGTTGACAAGTGACGAAAATAAAATGCATGATCAAAATAAAAGTGTGTTTAGTATGTATAACTTGCTCTCTATAAAAAAGGATGTGGGAGCAGCAGTCATGTCCGTTAGCTCATCACGATTAGCTTTCACCTTCGTACTCGTAGCATTTCATGCTGGTCTGGGACCATGTCTAAAGCGTTTCTAAACGAAAGGCATTCAAAAAGCAGATCAGACAGAGCGAATCTATCCGTTTCAAATCGGCCATTTTTGAAATATACAATTTATAATGAACCTGTAAAGGCTGCTTGCTGGGTGATATTTTTTATGAGTGGTGCAACTCAATCGATGAAATTGGCTGTTTTATTGCCATGGCGATTTCGAAGCGTTTAACGAAAGAACGACTTCAGATACATGTTTTTAGGATTTGCTTGATTTGCTTATTTAGGTCTGGCCACACTTGTATTTAAGGCATAAAAGCTACCAATTACCCCCTACAGTCACTCGCGCCGGTGGAATACACCTCAGCAATGCGTTAGCTTATCTGAGCATAGGGCCTATGCTACCAATATGACCCATTAAATGGTCCTTTCATGTCTACGTTTGAAAATGAAAACATGTCCTATAACCGACAAACAAATTATCTGGTTAGGTATGGCGCAAAACAGTAGTATGTGCGACATAATTTGGTTGTTACGGAGCGAGCGAAGCGAGCGTAGTCTTTCCTTAGATTAACGGAAATTTCTGAGTATGAGCGGCCGGCCGGCCGGCCGTGGTCACGCTTTTGCGAGGCTTATATCTCAGCAACCACTTGACCGATTTACACGCGGTAATTTTTGTAGGGTAGCTTCATTCCTTCTACCAAGTATTGGACTATTCCCGATGCATGTGGGTGACCCCTTATGCACGTGCCACGTGCAAAACGAAGAGGTGTCACTTTTGTAATTGTTGCAATATCTCGGTAACTACTTGGCCGATTGCGCTGAAAGTTGGCATGTAGGTAGGCACCCACTAGGCACTGCATATACATGTGCCAGAGTTGGGGCGCTGCTGCACGTGCGCACGTGCAGGGCCAGGGGTCGTTTCCAGATCTCGAGAACGGCTCGACCGATTGCGCTCAAATTTGGTACACAGTTAGGGACCGGTTAGTAGGGTGCCGTGCACAGGTCAGTTGGGACCCATTTTGCACGTGCGCACGTGCAGGGTGCCGCTTCCAGATCTCGAGAACGGCTGGGCCGATTGTGCCCAAATTTGGCACATCGCTAGAGACCAGTTAGTAGGGTGCCGTGCACAAGTCAGTTGGAGGTACCCCCTCGCAATTTCGCACGTGCAAGGCCCACCCTCTCGCTCGCTCCGTTAGTCGCCCCAAAAGGCGTTATACTGGTGTGTTACGCTGCTCTGCTCGAGTGAGGAAATTTAGAGAAAGGTCATTCAACACCAGAGTTTACATATCATATCGGGGCATAAAATATATCGTGCAGATTATATTGCAGATTATAATAAAATCAACCAAATTACAATAGAACTTGAAATTACAAACCAAATTACAATAGAACTTGAAATTACAAACCCCAAGCTGATAGTATCTGAAAAGGTGAAAAGGTAGTATCTGACTATAACATCCCTACTCCCCTACTCCAAACTGTGTACAATGTCGTCGAAAATGTTTACTATTGTCCTTGTTTTGATTTGTAGTTCTGCAGTGCAAGCCAGATACGATTTGTACGCTTGCTTTAGGTAATGTATAATACATGCATGACATGACGCCTGCCCTCCGGTAGAGAAACATGCGCCGCTTGTTTCACCAAACATAATTTCATTTCGCTTTCTACTGTTGCGCCACTCTGGCGGGGCGGCGGGAAGAGGAGGGTGCACGTGCTGGGCCGCTGCGCCGTTCCGCCTCCTGTCGGCTGGGCGCCGCCGCGCCGCCGGGAACCGCCGGAGGCTGCCTGACGTAACGACGCCAGGAGGAAGTAACTCGACCCCGATCTCGGCCGCTAGTTTCGCCCTGCCACCGGACGGTGAGGCCGGCGGCGGCGGAGACGCCTCATCGGCATGGAGGACGCAGTTTCACGTGTCGCCGGAATTCGGACCTTTCGACAGCAGGCTGTGCCTCTCACCTGCCTTTGGGCACTTCATAGAAAATAGGAAATTTAAACACTGCTTCTCCATACAGACATTGAAAGTGCTCTTGTTTCTGATAGTTATCCTGGCGCCATTAAAATATTCCAATGACAACTATGAGGAGTTTGGCCGAAAGGAGACTTCTAAACGACATAACTGTTAGGTTATTATAATTAGATGAATAAAAGCAGTTGAACTTTTCCTCGACATCAAAAATGTAAAAGCCGAATAATATATTTAAAAAATTGTAAGCTTTCGGCCACTAGCCTTTATTAGTTATTCCCAGGATCGTCTTTTAACATTGTTATCACGTTGGTTTGACAAAGGCCAGTGGCCGAAAGCTCACCGTTTTTTCAAATATATTTTTCTGGAAAAGGAATTTTTCTGGATTTTTTTTCTTTCTTCTTTTATTTATCTAATCATATTCAACATGTTCCTCGCTTGAGCACTTAATCATATAACAGTTACGGTTGAGCTCCTTATGGTGCACTTGAACATTCGTTAGCAAGTTGGTACACCTCACGTGAAACAAATGTAGGAAGGTTAAAAAAATGTGGTTCAGTTAATTGCTTATATAGTGTGTTCGCTACTTCCTAAAAACATAGAAACTGAATATGTGATAAGCTAACGAACAGGCACGTATGTATGCAAGACAATTATTGAAGACCCGTGCTACCAAAGTGTGCGACGGAGATGTGAAGGTACATAAATGTAAGAAGTTGTAAACTTGGTAATCTAGGCGTCCTAAAGCTAAATGATGGTGATTTACGACTACATACCTACGTATTTATATTTCTCGAACCTTTACGCGTTTACCCAGCGTATCGAATGTTGAGATTGTGGCTTCCCATTCATGAATGAATCAGTGACTGATTCTCGTGTTGATCAATTATGAAAGATTATTATCATCAGATCATTTGTTATGAACTAAACAGAATAAACAAGATATAAGCACATGTGTATTGTCAGAGCAAGGCAAAAATCGCAAAATTGCTTCGTAAAAGTACAATGTAAAGCTAGACATGTCTCAGATGAGTTGATAACACGGAAAAGCAATAGTAAAAACGAAGTCAAGTGGCATGAGGTGGCATAACGATAGGTAACAAATCCATAGATGAGCTGCACGTAGGTAATAATATTTAAGATAACTCTCAGATAGTACATTTGTCTTCTGCTGCTGTAGGAGAGTCAAGCGAATGCATCAGCCAATTTGTTTGCATTGAAGTAAGATATCAGGACAAAAGGACACAGAAAACATGTGTTAATCACAACAAAGAGCAGCTTCACAACATAAAGAAAATAATGCAAGGCGTGGGCGGGTTTCGCAGAGGATAATGGGAAAACAAGATTAGATGTAAATGCAGTGAGGAAAGGTAGTTGAAATTGTATAATCAAGCAGAATAAGAACAAAATGAAAGCAGGGAAGAATCATGGAAAAGGCACGAGCATCAGGTGCGGCTATTGCTGAAAACATAAATAGTAAAATGAAAAAAGGGCTTTGCAATAATGATACGTAGATGTGGAAAGTAACAGTATTTTGCGAGCACGGAAAAGCGTTCATTGCTTTTGCGATGCAACATTGCATCAAAAGGAAAAAGAACAGCTGATGCGTCCTGCTATATTTTGGTGTAGAGATGACAGTTATGTTCTTTTTAGTTTACCGAGAGTTTTGTTTACCGAGATTTTGTGGAATGAGAAGGGAAGCAATTATTGCACACAAGCATTGGCAAAAATTACGTCTCCCATGCACTGGGAGTTCATGACAGACATTTGGCAGTCACCAGCAACAATCAACAGCATCAAGTAACAACATGAAAACACTGTAGTAATATACAACAGAACAAAAACAAAAAAACGAAACGAGTTAACAACTTGTGAAATCACAGCATCGTCCAGCGGCGTGCATTTTGGGAGAGACAGGCCGGGGTGCAGGGCGTCTGGAGACAGTCTCTACTCCTCGGACCACGAGTCCTCGAAGTCCTTCTGCAGCTGGTCCATCCAGACCGAGTGGTCCACCTCCCACTCGTCCGTGTCCAGACCACGGCCCGAGCCGTTCAGCTGGGTGAACAGGAAGGCCAGCAGAGAGCCGAGGGCGAGCGCCGCCAGCAGGCCGAGACCGAGCAGGAACAGGGGCCCCAGGACTGGCGGCAAACGGGTCACACCACGGTCACACTCTGGTCACGCTCCGGTCACATTTCGGTCACACTCCGGTCACAATACGTTTACACACGGGACAGCCTCCAGTACGCGACCGCAGGATAGCTGAATACGCATCACGTAATTGTAAAATCGATGTATTTTTATCAATTTAGATTTTTCTGAAGCAACGCAACGACAAGAGTTCATCAGAGTTTACAACGCGAGCAATGCTGACCCGGCACTCGATCGGGAAATTCCGGGCTGTGATGGGAACATATAGAGGCTAAGTTTAGTATGCCAAAGTAGCCGGACACGGTCCGTCCCACTTGCTGACTAACTGGGCGCGGCCGCTCCCTCCAACCGCAGACCGCAGACGTCAGCAGTCACATATCGAGCGCCTCAGCCCCCGATAGGATACTCGATATGAGGTCCCACCATCGTGGGAGCCCGCAGCGCTACTAACTGAGCTACGCGACGAAATTCCTAGTACCTACTCTCCGATTGCGTTTCTTTCCGGGAGTACGGTACATTTCCAATCGGCAATTGAAGCCCATACCCAAAATGAAATGATGAATAGTTTAGTTGTCGGCGCTCTCATGGCCACCTTTCACCGGATGCTGCTATTTCTATGTGGCCAGCTCCGAGTGATGAAAGTGAAAGAAGGCAAGATGACCTAATCCGCACAAAAGCGGCTTAGACATATGAT